TCTTAAGACAGGGTTTGCAATTGTCTACTATTTAGACAAGTTAACCCTAGCTATACACTGCGGTTCCAGAAACTCCAGTGCAATTTGCTAAATCAAGAGTTTTTTTCATAGTTCTGAATTTTTCTTTTTCTTTGAATCTATATATATCTTGAAATTACTTAATTGTATCGATTTTTACACATCATGGACTTATTCCTTAATTAATTCTCCATTGATTAAAAAAAAAATTAATTGAAATATCCTTTTTTGCAGAAGTTATGTAACAAATATAGATAAACAAATAACAAAGAAGTTATGTAACAAATATAGATAAAAATCCAAGTATGTATATATATTAAAGAAAAAAAAAAGTATAGCTAGGATTAAAATATATTAAATTTAAGTGAATTAAAAATTATTTAAATATAAATTTAAAAATGTGCAATTTTTTGTATGTGATTTTGATACAAAATTTGAAAATATCATACATGATAAATGAATACAAATTTATTCTAAGATTACATAAAAATAATAAAAGGAACTTTATTTTTGTTAAAATGAGCCAGATCTTTTGATTAACACAAAAGCAAAAAAATATATTCAACAAATTATTTACTATTTACATTCTTAAGTTACTAAATATCTGATAACTTAAATTTTTTCTTTTATTAAATGTAAAAAAAATTTATTGAAATCGATTGTTGCATTGATTGACTGCAACGTGTTTTAATTCAATCTCTATTTACTTTCAAAATATTCGGAAATAAATTGTATCAAATGCTACCACATAGATCCATGCTCCCCTATATTATAATAAAGAATATATTACTCTTAAAATAAGAAATTAATAACTAAAAAATACATTTACTGTACATTCAGTCGTGATTCAAGTCTTTCCAAAATAGCATCCAGTTTCTGATTGGTACTCGCTTCCATCTCTTCTATTCTTTCTATCAATCTCTTTTCCATATCATGGAATTTATTCTCGATATAGATTCTAATATCTATATCGGATTTCTTATTATCTTCTCGGTTTATACAACTTTCGTCGCTATTTCTTATATTTCCATTTTTACATTCAAAAGAATTCAATTGTTCATGATCAGCCTCGCAATTTCGACATTCTTTTCCATTCTCTCTTTTTGAAATTTCATTTTTCCATTTGAAATGATCCGAGTCTGATGTAAGAGTTTCCAAAATTTTCTGTTTAAACTGCTCGTTATTCATAATTTTATTATTATCGCGGTTATCGTAAAATTCAAACATAGGTTGACTCATTTTACCGAGAAATATATTACTGAGAAATGTTTGAATAAAATCTTTATCATTGACAATACTGGATTTTGTCTCTTTTATAAATTCTGTCTTATTATCAATACAGGTTTTGATATCTGATTTTTCATAATTCTCTCCACAATTTGGATATTCCGTTTTACTATTTCTTCTTTCAATTCTATTTTTACATTCGGTGGCATTTGACTGCTCATAATTATCTCCACAATTTAAAAATTGTTTTTTATTATCGCTTCTTTCAATTTTATTTATATATTCGTCATATTTTGAGCCTGCAAATGTCTCCAAAAGTTTCTCTCTATATTTTCTCATACTTTCCTGTTTATCGTCAACTCTCTTTGCCATCTCAGACTTTTGACTCATTTTGCCATTGCTAGCGTTACTGAGAAAAGTTTGTATGATATCATAGTCAAAGGCACTAGATTTTGCCTCTTTTGTAGAGTCTGTCAAAAACAATCTTATACCATATATCCACATAAGAGGGCCTTTATTTTTTGTTCTAATAAACTAGAAAGTAAATATTAAATATTTAATTATGACGATCATTTACAGTTACTAAAGATAATCCAAACGTAAATTAAAATGATTTGTTTTTCAATGTTTATTTAACAATATATATACATTTATTTAATATTGGCTCTTATAGGCATTTACTTGTACTTGATTTAAATTTTATTACATTAAATGTAAAATCAAAGTATGTAAATAACAGTCAGCTTACCTTAATACTAACTTCTGTAGTAGGAGGATGTATCATAGTTTCGCCAAGGAAAACTATATTTTCCTCATATTCATCTATGAATTCAGCGTGTATCGTTGTTTCATATTCTCCAAATTGTTTGAAGATTTCTAGGACGTTACCTTCAGAAATAATAGCAATGCGTGCTATCTTTTGACAATTTGATACTTTAATATTCAGCATACATGGTTCTGTATTAGAACTCATTGGTTGTAAAGCAATACAAGTATCCACTGAAGCTACGTCTTCGCAGTTTATTCTACAAATGTTTAAAAATTTATATTATTTTAATATCATGTTGTTAACTTAAAGGCTATAGTAATCAAGTCACTTACCTTGCAGATGAGTACTGTATTGGCGCAATGGTGACAGCATCAACAAATTGTTTATTATTGCTGATCTGCCAGTTGCATGAGCTTGACAGGAGACTGTCACGGTGCTTTATAGATAGTGATGCATGCAACTCACCAGTGTTTTCGGTATTCATTATCTCCATAATTCTAGTATAATAGACGGTCACCTTTTTGCAAATAAAGCATATACCACAATTACACTTTGCAGTCTCATAAATTTGTCTGCGATTATCCGCATTCTCTTAAGCGATATCCATTCTACTGTCATATGTGCTATACATGATCACGCATAATGATATGATTCTCCTTGAACTGTTTTAAAAGAGCAGAAATTGAAAGAGTATTCACTGTTTTTGAATAAATGATTTTATTCATATTGACTGTGCTCGAACAGAAATTGTCACTGTACGCTGCATCGTCGACAGTTTGAAAATTTTGAATTCCTGTTTCTGTGATTATCGATTAACTTCAAACTCTATATCACTCTATCAATTGAAATATAATACAAACTACAAATCTCAAAAAAAGGAGTACGTGAGAATTATAAGGTATATCTAGGGTATGTTCCATCATCGACTATCATCGACGAGAAATAAGGTCTGTTTTTTATTCCCTGCACTCTTTAAACTGGATGGCTTGTTGCCAAGTCTGTTCGAAAGTAATTCCTTATATTGCAGTTTTCTTAATATTTTAGTTGTAAATTTGAACTTTTTTTGTATTTTCCTTTTCAAAAGTCCCCCGAAAAGTCTAAATTTTTGTACTTCCAAAAAATTTTCAGGTAAAAAAAAAATTTTCAAATCTGATAGAAATTCTACTAAAATTACTTCAAAATTAGCAACACCAGGTGCACGAGGTGCAAAAAATTGAAGTCCAGAGAATGCTGGAATAAAGAACAGACCTACTTAAATAAGAAATGCTTAAATAAAAATTTTTTTCAATAATCTAATATCGTGCACAAACAACATATAACAAATGTAAATGCTATTATAAAATGTAAAATGTCTATCATATATTTTGAAATATGAATATCGGCTTACCGGCCTAGTAAGCTTTATCCCTACTCCTCAAATAATCGCAAAGAATAGGGGGGAAGGGATTGACTGAAGCTGAGCGAAAATATCGAACTGTATCGAACTGTGTTCATTGTGCGCTTCTGTCGCAAATTATCTGAGTTTCGCGATCAGAAAAGATGTCAAAATATAGAATTGTTATGGTTCGTCACGGCGAGAGCGAGTGGAATAAGTTGAACCTTTTCTGCGGGTGGTATGATTCCAAACTGTCGGACAAGGGTGCGTAAATGTCGGCATAAATGTGTTCGTCCAATTCGCCGTTTCAAGGGCGAAAGGTCGCGTGATCCCATGCTAATCTTTTGAGTCTCTCTTCTGAATAATATTATTGACGTATTGCAGTCGTACATCTTAAATTATATTAAATATCATGTCACGTTAAAACTTGATATAATACGGATAATAAAAATCTTTTATTCATTATATTTTAATTTTGACAAATTATATTGTGTGCATTTGTACACACTAATAAATATTTTAACATTTGACATCTCAAACGATTAAATTAAAATTAGATTTAAAAATTTTATTAAATCTTTGTGATATTTATTATTTTTCATAAATGAATGAAGATGAAGTATTATATCAATTTCATCTAATCAACAAATTTAACATAAGTACAAAAATTTTTATTGATCGAATGAATTTATAGAGATCTCAAGAATCTATAAATTTACTGATTGCACGGATACTGATTTAGATGTTCGAAGAACTATATATTAGGTTATTACAAAACATGTTAAGCCCAGTTTTATATAAGAGTATAAAAGATTAAAAATTAAATTAAAAATTATTTGTATATCAGAAATCTTCTTGCAGGCAAGAATGAGGCTATATCTGCGGGAAAGGCTCTCAAGGATGCAGGCTATATATTCGATATAGCTCATACATCAGTACTCACAAGAGCACATGAGACACTCAAATTGATCCTGAAGGAAATTAATCAAGAAAACCTACCTATTCAAAAGACATGGCGTTTGAATGAACGACATTATGGTGGTCTTACCGGTATGAACAAAGCAGAAACTGCTGCCAAATATGGAGAGAAACAGGTGAAGATTTGGCGGAGATCATTTGATGTACCACCACCGCCAATGGAATCTGATCACAAATATTATGACATGATAGTGAAAGATGCGCGTTATGCCGATGAACCAAAGCCTGACGAATTTCCAAAGTTTGAATCCCTCAAATTGACTATCGAAAGGACGTTACCTTACTGGAACGATACAATTATTCCACAATTGAAAGAGGGCAAGAGGATCATTGTAGCCGCTCATGGAAACAGTTTACGTGGCATAGTGAAACATTTGGATGGTAAGACGCTTTGCTTCATTTCTTTTATTTATTATTTCATTTATTTTATAACAATTTATGAAATATGTATAAATCTTTTTTTTTTTTAGAAATGAGCAATGAGCAAATTATGGAACTAAATCTACCGACCGGTATCCCGTTTGTGTACGAATTGGATGAAAATTTCAAGCCTGTTGTTTCTATGAAGTTCCTGGGTGATGAAGAGACAGTTAAGGCTGCAATGGCCGCAGTTGCCGCGCAAGCAAAGGCCAAATAAATAATAATAATAATAATAATGAAAACCATCTAATATTCGAAAAGCAAAAATCTATTGTATTCGTATATCTGTTTAAAAAAATATTTATGAACCTCTAGTTTCGTTACATAGTTTACGAGAGAGAATGTAATTCAAGAGGTGGAAGCGATGGAATTCTTACTTGAATTAACAAGTATGTAAACTCCTCGTATGTAAACTAAAAAATATATACATGTATATATCATCATATAAAAATGTATACATGAATATCTGAAAATGAGATTCCTTTTAATCTATATTTATGGATGCGTTTCACTTGATGCTTACAACGCTTATGGAATTATTTATAGATTATCATTTTTCTTGTTTATTGAATGTTAAACAAGAGCAAATAATGCTTGCGAACGTTGAGTGTCAAATAGATCGCATCTTATGTATTATATACGCTGTGTATTTCAAAAAAGTATACGTAATACTATTTAAGTCCAATTTTTTATTCTCTAGTTTGCAGTGATTTAATTATAACTAGAAAAATGGGATTTTTACATTATCATCAAATTAAGTAAGATTAAATCACAATCAAGAAATGAAAAACCTAAATATAAAAACTTGAGTATTTGATAGTTTTTTTTAGAGAAAAAATTCTAAGTAAAATCCTTGTTTTATTAATTGAAGTATTTAGATTCATTATTTAAAACAGCATAGTAAAAAATATATTTACTGAATATATTATATTGAGCAGTGAATTATAAGAGACCAACAACATTATTTATTTCTCTTACGTTGTGATATAATAAAATAAAACCATATTTATTTCTCATACATCTTTTATTATATAATCAATATGTCAAAGAGGTACAGTTTGCGTACGAAATATAGACTTGTTCCACCTTTCGGTAAACTTCACTGGCCCATATTCTTATAAAGTATTGACATAAAAGGAATATTTCTTTCTTTTCTACATGTAAGGGAGAGGAAAAGAGAAGCAAAATCTGAAGTGGTTTGAAGTATTTGAATTCTGAAGCCAAAGTCTAGTGTCTTCCGTTTCACGTACGATGCGCATGATATATCATTTCATCCTTCTTTAACATTCGATAACCAATAAGAAGATCATGTGTAATTGAGTGCAAAGTATCCATGCGCAATACCTTGTTTGATTCCGCCATGATCAGTATCGTTGAATGCTGTTCAGTGGTTCAGTCATTCAGTGCGTTTCGGAACGTCAATCGGTCAATGTAAAGTGGCTTTTCATGCCATAACCTTGTGTATGTATACATTACATGATACTCTGAGAACAAAGCTCTTTTGAAGAGGAAGAGCAATCGATTGAAGTCAAATATGAATCGCGTAGATTTAAAAGTCGTATTATTGGGTAACGCGATGGTGGGAAAGACGAGTCTCATGGAAAGATATGTACACGACTCGTTTAACTGCAATAGGCCCTACCAGAATGTAAGTATTTACTCGATTATATGCGTGTGTACGAGAGTGCGTTCACGCAGTTGTAGATCTTCGCACTTCCATAATATTTAATTAAGAAGAAAACGTTTTTTACACGTGTTTGTATCAAATTAATAGAATAACCTAATTATTTCATTTCTCAAAAGAACGGAAAGAATGTGAAGACTAATAAAGGGCATGTCTAATAGCGTTAATGCCTCTCTTGTGCATACTATATGAAAAAGACGATTCAACAAAGAAGATTGTTGACAAAGGAAAAAGAAAAGACGTAGTTTTCCTTAGAATTTTTTAAAATCCTCCCCGATAGCAGGACTATTCCTTTTAGCTGAACTGGGCAGTTTTAATTTCGTGCGTTTAAAATTAAATACATTGATGACTATAATATTTGTTTGTGTTGAAATCCCAAAATTTTTTACATTTAATGATATAAATACATATTCGGGTGTTAAAGAGAAAGATAGCAAAAATAATGATTGCAGAAACGCAAGCAATGTAAATAGACCTAATGTGAAAGAAGTATACAATTATACATTTGTGGGTGTTTCGAATTATTAATTTATAATTATAATATTTCGTTTCAAATTTAATTCACAAAATAATAAATAAAATAAATAAATAAAGCTTTCAAAAAAATTAGTTTTTAAAAGTATTATAATTGTAATCCGTTATAGTTATAATACTTTTCACCAATGCTGATATTCAATGCTGATACAATCCTGAAAATTTTTCTCAGAATTTTTCGTATAATTTTTTAGAATGTGTATATAATTTTTCAGAATTTCTCTATAATTTTATAACTTTCTCACATTTTTACGAATTGGAACATTTCTCAGAAAATCTATATCTTTTCTCAGAATTTTTCATATATGTTAATTATGAAATATATCGTAAGATTGTTAAGATTTTTTGTAAATATAATTTCTGATGAAATGTTACAAAATCTAAAAAATTTAAAAATACTTTTTAAAAATTATGAGATGAGAAATTTCAGAATATTTCAGAATTCACTTATATGAGAAATTCTGAGAGAATTCTGTAACTTTTCGAATATTTCTGAATATTTCTGAAAAATGTTCCAATTCGTATAAAAATTATGAGAAAAATTTTCACTAGGGAGTCGTTACAGAAATTAAAGAAAAAATAAGAAACAAATTGTTAACAGATATTCTGTAAAAGAAATGCAGCTAAAAAGAATGGGCCTAGTCAATTTGCGAGCACTAATATGGTACATCTTGTTTCCTTAGTCCGCGACATTGTGGAAAGAAAATTATAAAGTAACAAAGTTGTGTTAAAGTTTGCACTGAGAATCGTCTAAATGGAAGGGAGGGCGTCATACCAATTAATCCAGTTGAAATTATGCCGCAGACAATAGGCACTGTGTTTGCAGCGAAGCGAGTGCAAGTGAACGATGTGACACTTATTATGGGAATATGGGATACTGCAGGCAGTGAGAAGTAAGTATATAAAATTACTACATCATGTGTAACCTTACCCAACTCGAAATTTTGAGATGCTGTTAAAATTGGTGCTTTTCTTTTAGGAGATACAGTTCTTTTAGAAGACATAAATGTTCTATCATTCTTGACATTTAATGAATAATAGAATGAACATTTGTATCGACTATATCTCCTAAAAGAAAGCAATTACAGTGTAATATAATGATTATTTCATTTTTGTTTAATTGGCAAATAAGGATGTAATAATTCATTGTATTAACTGTATCTGTTTCTTGCTGGAAACTCAATAACTAATAATAAATTCGGTTATATTCACTTACATTAAATTAGTGCACATTAAAACTACTTTATGTAAAGTAAAAATGGCATAAAAAATATAATCAATTTTAATAATGAAATAATATATGTATATTCCATCAAATAATGTAACAATATCATTTTTGAGTATTTAAATTCATTCATTGAAAAGATTTACATGCTTTTACATTTAACTTTGTTAATTTTAAGCATAGCAACTTTTAGTATACACTAATCTAATGTAATGCAAATGACCGAATTCGTTATAATATAGTACCAATAAGTTGTGCTGTTATCATTAATTACCAGGTATGACGCAATGACTAGAACATATTATCGTGGTGCCAAGGCTGCCATAGTGTGTTATGATATTACAAAATCGAGTACGTTCCAAAGAGCGAAGCACTGGGTAAGAGAACTTAGAAGCATTGAAGAGAATTGTAAAGTATATCTTTGTGCCACCAAGAAGGATTTGTGCGATGAAGGTTTTGTATCAGACGATCCAGATATACAAAGTGTTGTAGAGAGATATGCGAGTGGTACACAGACCAAACTTTTCGTAACGTCTAGTAAAACGGGAGAGAACGTAGGTAAGAAAGTATTACATTTAATAAACATTGTTTTATTTTATTTACAAAATGATATTTATTATATTTGTTCTTTATAGTCGAATTGTTTGATGAAATTATACAAGATTTCATATCCAATCCTGAAAATTTGCAAAAGGTAGAAGAAGCAATTGTTCTAAGCAAAAAAACTGGGGAAAGGTATTGTTGCGCAATCTAATATAATCAGTATTTGTACTTATTGTACTTATTCTTTTATGCTTTTTTATACTAGATAATTTATCTCTGATATTATGATAAACATAATGAAATAGATTCTAATGTATTGTTAATGACCAGTGTGATATTATTTTGTTTATTAGTAAAAGCTCAGAATTTTAAATATGCAATGTTGTTAGCATAATACAACTTCGCAAAAATAGATTAGATATTTTAGCAAATAGCAGATTTTTTAAAAATGTATGGAATGTGCACATACAATTTTGTATACTTGAAAAATTATGTGATAAGCAGTTTAAAATTTTAAATATGTGATTCTTGATCGTTTAGCTCTTTTTTTTTCATATTTTAGTAAAATTTTAGTAAAATGATATTTGTTCATAATCACATTCATGTGATTATGAATCGCGATTGATAAGATTCAGTGATAGAATTATATTTCTAAATGTACATGAAATGTAGTTTTTTATTTTTATGTTAAATTTTTATGTTAAAAATTTTGTACTTATTATTACATAGAAACTTGAAAAATTGTTTTTACTTCGAAATTCCTTGACTGGCTGAAAAGATAAACGAGAATTTTTAATTTTATTACAGTAAAATATTAGAAATGAATAAATTGAAAAAAAAATTTTTTTAATTCAATCAAATTTATTGAGTTATTATTACCTTTTGGAATTTATTTATTCCAGTAGAACATTACTGATTGTGAGTGAGAAAATTTCTCTCTTTACTAATTGTATGTAATTCACATAACTTAGTTTTTATAATTCGTTCATTTAATGGCGACTAAGAAAGATAGGATAAACAAAATTCTCTAGCTTGTTCATAAACACCAAAAAATATAAACCCACCCATAGTAAAACCAGTTACTCTCGGGAAAAAACCAGCAAACAACCTGAAAATATTAAATATATATAAGAAAGGAATTACGAGCCAATATATTTGTTACAATATTCAAGATGACCTCATGATAGATCGAAACGTTTTGTTATATTTGTGATTAAATTTTGTCAGTAAATTTCTATGTTTGTTTATAATTATCTTGATAATTATTATAATAAATATTAGAATTATTGTAATAAATATATTATATTAGCTCATAGCTTCTTTCTTACATGTATTGAATTTTAATCATTTGAGTCGTTTTCTTATAATTTTTCTAAATAATTCTAAAAACATTATATAAAATTTCAGAAACAAATTTCGATTGAAAAAAAAATATATTTTATACAATCCTCACCCTTTAAAACCGTGATCTCTGTAAACGTCTTTCAACATTATCGATATTTTAACTTCCTCTTTTTCTGCAGATGTGCTAGATAACATAATTCTGGTTTTTGCAACATCTAATGGCGTCGTTATGGCGGCTGATATTGCAACTGAAAGATAAAAAAAAATTAAAAATCTCATATAAGTAAGATTATTGTTCTAAAATTATTTTACTAAATACTAGATTTATTACCTGACGCAGCTCCGCAAGTGGCACCTTCCATAGGTGTGCAGTCCCGTTGTATTTGTTGGGTCCAATAAAACTTGAAATGTTCCCATAATGGCATTTGAATCACACCAAATGGCAGATCTCGAAGGACAGTGCTTCCATAACCGCGATATAATGTTCTTAATCTCAGTCGATGCGAATCAGACAAAAGCGCTTGTTTCCTTTGTTTAATAACCTCAACTGGTACCCGAATTAAGCAGGCAGTCTGCATATGTGAATCAAATTTTATTATATTTTCGATATTTATAAAATATGATCTTTGACAAGATGATCTTTAAATATTATAAAATATTCTAAGGAATGATTCCTTACATTAATTCAAAATGAAAATTTCATATGACCATTTATTTAACTATAAAATGATATTAAATATAAGAATAATCTATATATAATTTGAATATCGGTCTTAGTGCAGACAAATAGACCTATAAAACATTAGATGCTTTCCATTTGATGACGCAAGGCAACGTTCTATCTTTGTTACTGAATGTTAAGAAAGATAAAATGTTTATGTTGATTTGTCTCACTAAGTGGAAAGCACCATTATTGAATACAATTAGCAATTACTTACTATTTCAGAAGATGATGCTGCGATCATGTGAATAATGGAGTGATACTGATTTGGTATATTTGGTTGCGAATATTGTTTTATTCCTTCATAAGTAATAAAAAATATAGCAGCTGTAACATTAATGTTTTCATTAATATTAGAGGAAAAATATTTTTTTTTTGTATAACTGTGTTTTATTTTGTACCTGACGGAGCCGAACCTAGTACTACAGGCCCTATGCCTTTATACAGGTACCTGAAACCGCCGGATTGGAAAAATCCATGTTGACTTTGCAAGCGCGTTTTCAGGGTATCCAATGGAAAAAGTGTCACGTCACAAATAACTCCTGCAAGAGCACCTGACTAACATGAAGTAACAATTATTTTTTAATAAAATCATATTGATGTCTATTAAAATCTATTGATAGTATTTTAATATTTTAACTATGTTATTCTAGACAAAAATTTCTGTCTGTTCTATATTTGTCAGTAATAATTTGATAAAAAAAAATTTATTAAAATTTAAGTTAAATATTTAAGATATCAAAGAAACAATAAATGGTAAATTATATTAAAAAGTTAAAAAATAAAATAATATATTAAAATAATTTATTAACCTTATATTAGCCAAAATTAGTTTTTTACGTTCGAAATATTAATAACAAGCAATCTATTGATGATGTAGAAATGATTTATAAGAAAATAAAACGCAACTATTTACGGTCATTCATGAAAATCAATTTGTAACAGTAGACATGTGGAATAAATCAGTAAAATTTAAATGATAAATATGATTTGAGATTGATATGAGATTGATGAGGAAAATATGAGCTATAATAATTAGCCGGTTGTGAATTATAAATGGAATATGTAGTTTATATAAACAATATGAACAATTATTCTCAAAAAATTACAAAAAACGTAGAAAAAATAACAAATATAATATAAAAAATAATATAGCTAGATAACTTGCATATAAATTTAATAATCAGCCGGCAACCACGGACGAAACTTACAATAAATGATGTAAGCAAGATATCTCTCTTTGAGAGTTTCGGTACGGGCTCTTCTTGTTCGTGAAACATTTCTTTATCACGTTATACTCCGTCTCGATGTTAGGTCCGATTAATGAGAAGATTTCAAGAAACGTCATCGAGCTGATAAGTAGGAAAAGTAGCCTCTGAGTAAAAGACTACCTTGTATCGCGCGCTAGAGCTTTCGGCAGAAAAAATATTCGCATAATCATTGATGATTAATAATTACTACCGGATACTGAATATTTTGGACATGTATGTCTGCCAAACTTATACCATTCATGATGAAACGACATACGACGTAAATGATGCAAGCTGATGAGAAAACACGTGCTCTGTATCGCCCGTATACATTATCATACAATACATAAGTAGGCATATATTGGTATATGTGAAGCCCGTCGTCTGCTTTTCAGAGCCGAATTTAACCTAATCTTTCTAACAATTCGCGGGAAAATTGGGGTAAAGCCTGCGACACACGATGCTACTACTGGATTGCTAACTGGATTAGAATCTTGCCACCGTATTGGCTGCGATGCTGTCAGTACGATTCTAATCCAGTAACATCGTATGCTACAGGCTTAATATACTTTCAAAATAAAACTTTAAGAGATTCCGAACAATAAAAGGAACAAGGAACAAAGAACAGAGGCTATGGTAAAAGTCTAGCTACAAATGTTTTGATGGACTAATTAGAAGAAAGAATTTTACAAACTGACCAGTTAAAAAACGCTTCAAAGCATTTGCAATGTTGATCCCAAAAGAATAAGAATTTCAACTTATCAGAAATCATGTATTGCGGAATATACGATTTCTGATTGACGATGGCTTGAAATCCTCTAACAGTGTCTTTCGGTATAATATCATGCTACATATAGCACGAGTATACGAAATATCGATTTATCATCTCTAGCCTATCGTCCAAAAATGGACGATATCCTAAGAAAAGTGGATGTTGTTATATAGTTTATATCCACTTTGTCAGAAGACAGTAGTGTGCGGCAGCATTTTGCGCTTAGAGCCATTCCACACAACTTGCATAGCCGCATAAACATATATATATATATATAAAGAAAATCATCCAATCCAATCCAATCCTATATATTATATCCTATATACTATATTTGTTTCTCTGACAAAAATGTAATTAGATATTTTTCTTTATGCATATAATTATGCGGAAGTTGTGTGTAATGGCTCTTATAAGTTTTGGGCCATTATGTTTCTCAAGTTTCTTTCTGATTGTACTTATTACAAAATACACCCGTTGATGATATATCCACAACTTACATAGCTGCATAAGCATATGCATAAAGAAAATGATATGTTTATGCGGCAATGTAAGTTGTGTGTATATACTCTTACATTCGTGCATGTACATTCGTTTTCGCAATGTGTGTGTAAATCTATTGAATTACAAACTAGCGACTTTTCCCAAATAAAAATAATAATAAAAATGTCTCTTCCTCAAATTTTCTTCATTTCTAATCGATTCCATTCATAAGGGCCGATTGTTCCACTTTTTGGTAAATTTTGAATGTTAAAATTAAATGTGTTAAATTTTATCTGTGAGATAAATCTGATAATTCGCGCATGTAATTGAGTAATTTTACTTCTTACAACAGGTAAAATTTACCAAAAAGTGGAACAATCGGTTCTAAAATACATTACATAAAATCGCTGTCTACTAATCCATACAGCACAGAAGATTGAAGTAATATTGCTGCAATGTTGCAATATTAGTTGCAATGTAGATTGCAATGAAACATTGCAGAGATATAACAGAAATATAAATTAATAATATGCAAAATGTTAATAATATGCTTGTAATATTTCATGAACATTGCAAAATTGTAATTCTTTAATTATTACTATAATAATAATATAAAAATATAAGTTTTTACAATTTTTATGTAGTACAATCTTTTTAGTTTAACAGTCGTTTTTATGATATATAATAATTAATATAATTCATTTTATATTTAAATAAAAAATGTATTAATCTAATTATTTGACGGCCATTTAGCTAAGTTTTATATTTATTTAAATATGAAATCAAAAGATTGTATAATATCGAATTTGAATACAATCATTATGATAAGCAATTAAGCTGTTGAAAACGATTTATCGAAATATTAATTATGTGATCGATAATGTATTTATGCCTGAGGTGAACGCAAGAATAAAGCAGCGTCCGAACTTTATTGATAAATTTCATATCGTCATTTTTTAATCGATTTCAATTGACTCAGAGTGGTTTCTGTAATGTTTCTACAATTTCTTTCTGTGCTGTATGGGAACTTGATGCATGATAAAATTTGTTAATAACAAAAAAAATTAACTATTATCCAAATGTTTAAATATTTTTTCTGAATTTCCCCAAACTATTCTCAAATTATGTAGACATAAATAAATCAAAAATATTTAATTTGTCTGCCATCTTGTCAGTAGTCTGTATACCCTTTTCATAAATTTCAGGGAATCAATTCTGTATCTTGAAACGAGAAAATTACAAAATACAAAACGAGAAAAATACAAAAGTGAGCGAACTTACTAGAATATTGATAATTTCATTGATCAACATCTAGTAAATTTGGTCACTTTTGTAATTTTTACCTTGAAGATATCGATCCCCAGTTGTCGCTGGCAACAATTGCGGTAATCCTTTTGACGTTAGAAAATGAGCGTTTTAGCATCGCATGAAAAGACACCTTAAAATTGACTTTTCATAGGAAGCACGTTTGCGGCAGCAATTCGTTGCTTGGTTAAAAATTTTACATGAGATGACGCATTTCCGACGCAAAATACATTTTGTCATATTTCATTGAAGTTTAATCGAATGAACAACGAACAGCAAAGAATTCGAAGTCGAAAAAGTCTGCAATATTTACAAAAAATGTGAAAATTGAGTACATTTACAATGAGTACATTTTTAGTAGAATTTGAAATGATGGGAATATTCTAAATAAATTCTAAATAATTACTTGAAATGATAATTGTTCAAATTATAATTGCACTAACAGTTGCCATATAATCACAAGTTTATATCTTTTTAAGTTTTCCATATTAATTTTCGAGCTGAGCAAATAAAAGACACATATTTGAGTTTAAATTTTAATACATATGCTGCCTTATTCTTTTTCATACGTAGCAAATATAGCGGAAGTAATTATGAAAAATTTATGACGTGACATTTTTGCTGCCGCAGTGTGCTGCACATGAAAAAGCACCTTAATACTTCACCTTAGCTGCGTTCGGTAATGCAAGAGACGTCGGAATGCTCTTATATTATAGCATATGTCACGTGTACTGTAGAAAAAGAGCACTCCGACGCTTCAGATTTGCATTGCCGAACGCAGCTCTTATATAATCCATCATAGTGTGGTGCAGTTACAATATAGTAGCGCAACTCAATAGTTATGGTCAAAGTCTCGCAAATGAAGCATTTCATGGATCGATTAAAAGAAAGAATTTTACAAACTGATCAATTAAAAAACGCTTCAAAGCGTTTGCAGCATAGCGTTGACCGTATTCTCTCTCTCTTTCTGTCGGCACTTTTGATTATTAGAATTCACATTGCGTACGGCATCCGATAACGTCCGATACAACGTCTGATATCCAATAAGAAAACTTGATTTCTAGATATTTCAGCTAACAATATTTTGTCGTGCGACGATGCTTATTGTATAAGAATGTTCGTTAAGATTTAACTTTTTCGTCGACGATGTATGTACGGACAATTTGCACGCGATTGATGTACATTGTACATAATGACAATCCTGTAAGTAATGAAATATTTATAAAAATAATTCTAGATTAGATGAGGTTAAATTATATTTGCTTTCACTTTTATTTACATTTCAATATTATTTCATATATTATGCTGATTCTACAATATCGGAACACAACATGTTTTCCATCAATAGCTCCTACGCAATATGGGAAGTTCCATTCTTTTAAAGAATTCATCTTCAATTTTTATCCAATCTTGTTGAGAAGATTGTTCTAAAATTTGAGGTTGCAGAACTTCCCAAATAGCTTCGTATGTTTCTTGTATTATACAGAAACAGTACTTTTGCCTATACGGTATGACATCGCAAGTGATGCCATCAAATCGCTGGATGCTAAATATCTATTAAAAAAATTGATCCTTAAAGTAAATAAAGAAACATATATCTCAAGAAAAACTAAATAATAAAGTTAATATACCTTAATGTTATTAATAGTCGAACAGCAAGCAAAATTGTCGAAAATTTGTTTTTTGTTTTTCTATAATTCTCCATTTCCATTTAATTCTCCAATTAAATGGAGTAGTTTATCAAAAGTATTAGGCGTCATTTGAATATAATTGTAGTCCCAATTTAAGTCTTCAAAACGCATTTCTTGTACTAATATACAAGCTTCACCTTTTGTTTCTCGTTCGAATACGTGATCTAATTTATAGCTTTTTTTTCTTTTTAAATCGAGTTTGCTTTATTTTATTAAGTTTCCATTGCATAATTAATAATATTTTCAATAAATTTTTTTTCCGTTATAATTGCGTATAAACATTTCATTTTCTAAAAACACAGCTGAATAGTCAGAATATATTGCAGATTATGGTGTACTGTACGAATCCCTAAAATCGTATTCACATGTGAATAGCTTCAAAGCGATACAATGAATATCGGACGTCGTGGATGTCGTACATAGTGTGAATTCTACATTAATGTTGACTAAAATGGAGTGCGCATGCGTGAAATAAGTAAGTTAGCATTGCCACGGTTAGCATTACCATCTAAACTTCTTTTTCTTTTCATTTTTTTTCGCTCTATTAAAATTTTTCGCAAAACTCATTAAATTTATTCACATCGCATTCCAACGAATTTACTATTGCAATAAAATAATTTAAACTTTATGAAAATTAATAAAAATAAATTGTAAATATATTGAAAAATAAAAAAAAATATAAAAATTAGGAAAAATATTAAATTAATTTAAAAATGTATATTTGTATAAGAAATATTATATAATTATATATCTAAAAATATTATAAGAAAACTGATATAAAAGAAATTTATATACATATATCCAAAAAATAAGTTTAAAATACAATAAATAAAAAGAAATCTTTCATGCTCGGTTTTCTATGTTACTTTTGTTCATTTTTTCACAAAAAAGTTACGATCAATATCTCGAGATTTCTCACACATTTCATCAAATGGACAATACTTCCCTCTAAATTTTTACTCTGAACCATACTTGAAAGAAAAATGTTTAAGTGGAACATTGGAATACTTATTTAAATAGAAAAAGAGAGAGCTATAAAAAAAGAAGGAAAAGAGATGGAGCAATTTACTTATTTCACGCATGCGCACTCCATTTTCGCATAATATAAAATCAGGAGAATTGCGCTACTATATATTTTGTACAGTGTGGTAGATCAACTTCGAACATCTCTCCTCGGAGAGAATCAAAGGATCATCGGATCTAGCCGATATGATGGAATCTGTCTGATACTTCCACGGGAATATCAAAGTGAGATCTTACAACATTGTCTAATAAAGGAGTTATCTATCGTTAGATGAATAATTGATAAGACCGATGTGATGTCGGTGTTCCTCTCGTTGACATGTGCATAAAACGATATCCGAGGATGATAGGATATTCAATGACGAGCATATGATACCACGTAACTCTCGTAGCGCGGTGGGAAACACGCATGTTTGTTGACAAAGCACGAAGAAAGAGAAGGAAATATACAGGTAATTTAATTTGATATCCATGTTTCCTAAAATTCAGACTATGGGCCTATCTGGATACAGTTCAAGAAGACAGAACACCAAGCCTGAGAAGTAATAGTGTAAGAAGCTAGCAGATACATCTTAATTTTATTTTGTCTATTACAAAAAAAGAAATTACTAATTTTATTATACTTGACATAAGATATAAATATGTGCCACACAATGCGAGGAGCTTTATAAAGTTAGCGTAACTAACTGATGGCTTAACAACAATTAACCGAGCTTTTTCTAATACAATGCACGAGAATAATGATACAAATGATGCGAGAGAATACAACACAACAGATGCCACCGAGTCTATTTTGTACACTATACTGGTGAATGATCTTGCAACAGTTTCCACAAGCATGCCAAGTACAATCTACAACGACAACGTATCCACGACGGCATACATAGAGTTGCCGCAGGACAGCGAGAATAATCAACGATTGTGGAATATATCCAAAACCGCAATAACTTCACTGTCCGAACCTACAGCAATATCATTTAACACTTCAAGAAGCACTATGATATATACATCAACAACCGAATCATTTGATGAATTTGGTCCGCCAGAAGGAGTAGAATATATTTTTGTACCACTTGGTGTAGTGGTTTCTGTTATTATACTATCAGCTGTGGTATGGGTAGCGATATCACTTTTGTCATTACCTTGTGACGTTTTTCCCCTGCTGTTTTTATTTTTGCACACAACGTTATACAAGTATCAATACAATGTGTGATGTATCTATCATTCTATGTTTTAATATTTATAATACATACGATCTTATTGTTTTATAAGAATTATAGATAAATGTGATACGATCATACAAATGGCATACGATCTTGGCATATGTTTTTTTTTCAGCAAAATTTTACATCCTGCTTTTCTTGCTAGGTATACTTAAGATTTCTCGAACTTTAACTCTAATTTGGTTTTTAAAGGTACTGATTATATCGAGAAAACGCAAGTTGGAACGTTTAAGACACAGACTCATGCCAATGTATAACTTTGATCCTGGAGAAGAAGAGGAGGATGATTGGGAGACTGAACTGTTGGACGAGTGCTACAATACACATCAGAGACGAGTGTGTAAGATTGCTTTCGTTCATGATTTGCGCAAGTGCTTTAAAAATAAGAATCATTGTTGATTTTACAGCAAGGATATCAATCCATGGATACTGAAGAAAATGCAGAGCTATTCAGTCGTCACTAGTAGTATATTTTTGCATAGCATTTATATTATTTTTTCATTAAGCTATAACTATTATAAGCTAAAGACATTTCTTTATTGTAATTTTTATACACACGTTATTAAGCATATCGGAATTTACAACTTTAGCTAAAAATTATATTTTTTCTTATACAGATTCTTAAAGACCAAAGTTTTATAAAAATAACATATTTATTAGAAATATATTTGATAATTCCAATTTTCAACTTTTTTTATAGCCTAATGTCATCTAAATTATACACGAAAATAAATTTTAAATTGTTTTATTATAATTGAATATTATACGTGCACACACAAGTTTCAAAATATCAGTCAATTAATATGTATATAATACATATATAGACATTGATTTTTACATAATTAATTTCATAACAAAATACAAATATGAAATTTTTCACAACTTTATTATTTATACAATTTATTTTAATCATATTCATATCTTCCTACTTTTCTTAAAGATTATTTTTCTCATTCAAACTGGTTATTTTATTTTCCTATATTATTCTTTTCCCTCGGATAATTTTGAAAAATGCTTTTATCGTTTAATGAAATGAATTATAAGTTATGTTACTGTTTTGTATGAAATATTGTCATAACTTCACGATAAAGTATAGAATTTTTAATCTTAAAAATCGGGAAAAATATAAATGCAAAATTAATAAGAGTACTTTGAGTTTATTTACTTTAATACAAATTTGACATTCACACATATGCTTGCCTCAAAAACGACAGTAATATACATTAAGAAAGTGTACTTATTAATGTTAATTAGAAAAGAATAGTCCCTGCATATGTTACATACAAGAAGTTTCTTTTTCGTGTTTATCTTTCTCTATCTCTTACAATATTAGATCAGTATGGAATTCTTTTTTTTTTGGTTTCATGAATCGCGTAATATGCATATGAAGGAGAAAAGGAGGTAGCAAACATGTGACACAATATTCTCTATACTGCGAAAGTTTTCTTTAATTAGAAAAAAAGTTTATCAAACCTCACTTCTCGGGCAAATTAAAAAAGTTTCGAGATCGGCATTGTAATCCAGTCTTTTACTGTTAAAGAAGGTTACATGTACGTAGTCTTAGTACTTAAAAGTATGATTTTCATTTATCATTTAATAGTAGTGATGTCAAGTAAATATAAAGAACTTAATAAATTTGTAACACAATTTTTGTATCCGACGTTTCTTAATAATAACGTGAATTCATCAGCGTGTGGCACTGTGAACTGGAGTTTGTGAGAAAACTCGAGTATCAGAACAGTGTTCACCGCTTCGACACTCGCTCGAGAGTTAAATCAGGTTAAAATAAATGAAAAGTAAACCTTAAAATGTTTCAATTCAATACGATGTTCTATTTAAAGGTCTTCGAAGGATAAGTCAGCTGTGTTAGTTTCGTCCTCCCCTATTGCATCTGTGGATGCTTCAATTCTCTTCTTCCTCCTCCTCCTCTTCTTGTTCGTCTTCATCTTCACCAGTAAGTTCTGGTTTCTCTTCTGTCTTTTTCGGTCTACCGCGACCACGTGATGGAGCAGTTGTGCCTTTTGGTGGTCCTTGCTGTAAGTTCAACAATTTTTTTGTGAAAATAGATGATTAAAATTAATTATACAGACAATAATTATTATTAATAGTTTACAGCTTAACAAATATTTCTGTCTTAATTCTTCTTACCTTCTTCTTGTGGGAGCCCTTAGGTCTACCCCTTCCCTTTTTAACAGGTCCAGGTGGTGAATCATCCTCGTTGTCAGATTTTGCAGGGCGTACTGCATTATTTTTTTCCACAGAAGGTCTACCCCTCTTTTTGGGCTCCTTAACAGCGTTCTTATCTGCCTTAGCCGGCCTGCCTCTCTTCTTTTTTTGCTCCTCTACTACAGGGGAATTGTCGTCTGACATATTTATTGTCCTGTTTCACTGTAAAAGCAAAAAATCAATATCGATTATTTCTCTCAATCGCCTTGTCTCTTTTTCAGATTGTATCGTCTCCAATAAGATGAATGAAGAGCGCCAACTAATACAAGGAGTTCTAAGTCATTTGTGTATACATGTGTATATGCTGTGCGGCTAATGTGAAAATAATTACTTGCTATACTAATAATTATTTGACATTATCCATCAAATGAATTCCTTGTGAATATGTCCTTTGTACTCGCGGATAATCCTTTAACTCACAAAATCTCTTAGTGCCATATATTAGTAAAATAAAAAAATAAATAAATAATGATAAAACAAATATTTATCTATCAATATATGTGTCTACAATACAGAACATAAATGAATATATTTTCAGAAAAATGTATTAACCTTACATAGACAGATAAAACCGATAACGAGTTCGTGCCTATCGCTGTTGTTGAACAGAGCCCAGATACATTGAGATTCTCGAATCTCAGGAGAGAAAAAAAAGGGTAAAAATAAAAGAACGAGTGTGACTATCGATCTTTCAATATTTTCCTCCCGTTGTCTCGCGCGCTTAAAGGAGCATTGGAGATCGCGACGAGAGAGAAAAAGTAAAAGAGAAAGAGAGAGAGAGAAAGCAGACTGCGCAAACGCGCTGCGAAAATCAGTACTATCAATTACGCGCCTCGCAAGTTTACGAGAAGAGATACGCGGTGCGCGACATACAATTTGCGTCGCAAAACGCCTCTTTGGCGCGGCGCGATATGGCGCGCGGCTCGGCACGATCGAAAACAATTCTTTCGCGGGCTTCAATAATTTATTCTTATATTGTGGCTCAAGCAAAATCTCACGATATTCTTTATTCCGCGGAAACTACGTCGTCGAATATCGTTGCAATTGGCTGAAAGTCGCGTTCGCAGGCTGTAACGGCGTCTGTCTTCTTCTTACTCCGAAAGTTTCGTGCCCGCCATTTTCAAAATTTGCAAACGGATCGCGTCGAGTCGCGACGGGGACGCCGCGTCGGTTCGATATCGGAGGAAGGAACGAGCAAAATCGTTATTATCATTTTTTTTTATTCTTGAATTTTGCACGACGGCGACGAGTCTCGCCGTCTCGCGACGAGGAAATAACCGTATGGACGGTTGGCCGCGTTGACTCGGAGAGACGCCATGAGAGAGAGAGGCGCGATATCATGGCGTCCACGAGTCGTGTGTGCCTCCGCGGCGGCGGCGGCGGCGGCGTCTATCCGCGCCGTTGAGGCCGCGTTGAAACCGCCGTGCCGATAATCTCTGCAAGTAACTGCGCCACGGCGACGAGGAGCGTGGCGAAAAATCCGTCACAAACCTGATGAATTATTGGACACGCTTAGATGGCTCGGTCGCGCGCGCTTACCATCGAAATAAATAATCCGCCTCACGGTTAACGGCCGTTTCGGATTAAATGGTACCGAAGGAATTGGGAAACGAGCATGGTTCACATAAATGAGTAAACGACGACCATTGAACGCGCGCGCACGCGGGCACACACGCCCGCCTGCACCAACTCGCGCACTCCACTCACCTCACCGCTCGGTACAGATGAAGAAAATTTGATCTCGCGTATGTCGGGCCACGCACTCCTGCTCCGCGGAGAACAAAGGTTTCCCGTTGCCGGTCGGCAGCGCGGCGCGCGTAGTGGCGTGGCGGCGGGTAGGTGATGTCTCGCGCCTCGCGGTCACGTCGCTTCGTGTTGTATCGTATCGTATCACGAGACGCCGTGCGGCTCTTCGACAAACGCACTCTCGTCAGTCTCGTCTCTCGGCTTCGCGGACCAGCGTTCGCTCGCTCGCTCGCTCGATCACTCGCGTTTGCCCGCGTCGTGTGGTGCACTCGGCACGCTCTCGGCTCTCGTTCGCTTCGCCGCCGTATCACCGTGTATTAACAGGCGCCGCTGTGCCCGCGCACTCTACACACAGTCACGGGCACAGGATACCAAGCGCGCGCGCGCGCGCTCACTCGCTCGTTCGTCGTTCTCACGCACACTCTCGACTCTCGTATACGTGTTCCGCAACCGCCGCGCCACACCGCGACGTAACGCAGCCTCCACTCCTCTGTCCTCTCTCGTCTCGTCTCGTCTCGCGGTCTCGCGCGCGCTCTTCGGCCCTTGGTGGCAACGAGGCGAGCCGGCCGGTGGCGGTAAGCGGTTGGCGATCCGGCTTCCAAACGAACGACCTGTCGCATCGACGTACCCGAATTGTCGTCGTCGTCGACGTACGGTAACGACTAGCGATACAAAACACATGCATACACATACACGCGCGTAAATGCGACGTATGTATATGCGAAGCCAACTGCCAACTTACCGGGAGAATATCAAGTCGCAACTGACCGACGACGATACACTGCGACGCGATTCGTCGAGCTGCAGTTCGCAAGCTGAGACCTCTCTCTCCCCCGCCAATCCCCGGTCCGTGAGCGCGTCAACGAATTCCCGCCAAAAGATCGCTCCGCGCGCGTGGTGGTGGTAGCGGTGGCAGGCTGGTAGCATCGAGAAAAAATCGCCCATTCGTTCGTTCGTACTTGGTGCGCCGCGCCGAGGGCTCGCAACGCGGCGCCCCGAGTCACGACGATTCTCTCAGCTTGCTCACCTCCTCCCTTCCTTATTCGATTCCTTTTTTTTTTCCTCCCTCTTCTTCCGTACCTTGACGTCGCCGCGGCAGCGACGGTGGCGGCGGCAGGATCCCTCGCCTCGCTTCGGGAATTTCGCGCGCGCGATCGGCGCGATTTGGCGCGAACGGTTACAATGGCGGGCGACTAACGACTTTATTGTATCCGCGTCCGTTGGTGGTTGGATGCGTTTCGAGCGAGGGAGAGCACCAGAACACCAGGAGGAGAACGATTTGCGTTTCTCTTTCTGGGGCGGATGCTACGTAAAAATTTCGTTAATGATGATGGAAATTGGAGAGAATTGCGCGGAATGAGCATTAATATTAATAATGACCTGCGCCGCGTGGATCGATACATATATACGTATGTGTCTGTGCATAGGATTATGCAAAGGAAAAAAATCGCATATGCACGACGAACGTCGAATAGTTACGAGCCGGTTGTAAGCGCTGGGGGACATTGACCTCGCCGATTCTCCCGACTGTGTTTTCGACGACTTGAACTTCCACGTCGATACATGGATGAAATAATTTCATCCCCGAATCAATAGTCGGATTTATTGTGAGTATTCCAGGTGGAAACGCAGAGTCAGGCTAATATTACGAATAATCTTATATTAAAAAATTTTTTCAAGTATGGTGTTAAGACTGGTCTTTAAAATGT